ATTGAACTCATGACCCAGTGCTTGCCAGGCAGGCACTTATGCCACTGAGCCAAATCTCTAGCTCTCAAAAATATTTTTTTCTTAAAACTTTTTAAAAATTTTAAGATGATTTATTAAGTGTTAAGCTTCATAATGATAGATATAGTGATGTTCACTTGTCTTTTTTTCTTTAAAAAGTCTGCTCCAAAAGCTAAGTTATTTTCTCATCCATTCAATCAAGCAAAGGGCATACTTAATCCATAGTTTCTTTTTTTTTTTTTTTTTTTTTTTTTTGTCTTTTTCGTTTTTATCGGTACCAGGGATCGAACTCACGACTGCCTGCTTGCAGGCAGGCGTTTATGCCGCTGAGCTAAATCCCCAGCCCCTGAGCTAAATCCCTAGCCCAATCCATAGTTTCAATAATTTGCTTTTCCTTTTATTTGACACAAAGTAGTATCATCCACATTCCTCCTGCTCCAGATTTTACAGACTGTTTCTATCACCTACTGTTATCTTTGGTTTAAAGACTATGCAATTACTTGATTTAGAAAAATATCTTTGCATCCAGAGTTAAAACCTCCCACCCACTAGCTGTGACAAAAACCACCCACGTAAGAGCAGAAGGTGGTAAAACTGAAATATTCATGATGTTCCTAACTTTTAAAAACCAAAGAATTTTTCTCCTTTACAAAATTTGTTGCTTCATTATTATATATTTACTTATTTACTATTATTCAATTACAGAGATTCTTGAGGCCCCGAACTGTACAAATAGCCACTAATAGCAAGGCTGATTCTTTAGGCTTCATTTTAAACAATGTGATTCAGTAAATAGGTCCATGTAAGAATTAGTGAAAGATAGTTGCAGGGAACTTTAGTTACACAACTTTCCTTAACAGCAATTTAGCAATAATTAATATATCAAAAAAAGCCTTTAAAAAGGTACATTTTAATGGCAATTTAGCAATAATTAATATATCAAAAAGCCTTTAAAAAGGTATATTTTCTTGACAGTGTTTCATTTCTAGGAATTTCCTGAAAGGAAATAGATATTCCCAATTTAATGACCCATCAGATTAAAAACTCTTCATATTTAAGACACATTTTTTTTGGGGGGGTACTGTTTTGTACTACATCTTGTTGAGAGAGCCTCAATGTCTTTTTTTGTACAATATACCTTGTTTTACAATATTGTACTAATTGTATTGTATATAGTACAGTACTGTTGTTTTATGTTGTTATACATTATACTGCACATGCGTTATGAAAATAAAAGCAAAGTCATCAGGAGTTTCCTTTGTCCATTTCCTTGTTCTGGATATTGCAATATACATACTATATACAATTCCTAATTTAGTAACCAATTCATATAACCACCTAGTCAGAAGAATGGAACTCAGCAGTTAAACAAAGAACGTCTGTAACTAAAAATTTACCTGAAACTGTTCATTTCAGTATTGTACCCACAGGAAAAAAGTCTATTTAAATTATGTGACTACCGGAGATCAGTTATGTGTAAACTTCAGCATACTGGTGTATACACATTTAAAATGCTATAGAAATAATCTTACTGTTAAGAAAAGTTTACATAAATTGGTATATTGAAAAAGCAGGTTATAAAATTCTATTTTTATGAAAACAAAAACACAGAAAAACTCATAAGGATATAACAACATCAAACAGCAACTTCTACCTCTGGTATTATGATCACTGTTTTATCCCCTCATATCTGAGCTTTGTATAGTAAAATGTTTAATATTGTATAGTTAAAAAACCTGTAGGAAGCAAGCAGAACCTGTTTATTTTGGTGTAAGTTTTATTTATTCTTTAAGACTTTGCTTAAATTCAGCCTGAGTGGCCTCTGAGAACACGCAGACATTATTTCTCTATCACTTGAATTCATTGCGTCTATGATGCACCAGTACCGTAGCTCCTTACAGTGCTATTTTCTTTTTTATTTTATTTTTTTACAGGTACCAGGGATCGAACTCACGACCATGCGCTTGCAAGGCAGGCGCTTATGCTGCTGAGCTAAATCCCCAGCCCCTATAGTGCTATTTTCATATGAAATTTTTACCTATCAAAGCACACTATACACTCTTCTGAGCCAAAGACAGCAAACAGTTAAAAATAATTGCTGATTTTTGAGAGATTTCAGAAGACTTGTGTAAGAACTATAAGATGTGAGCAGAAGTCTATGACTCACCTTCACTGCCTGACTCTTGGTGTTGATAGGGGGGTTTTTCAGAGCAGCCTGGAGGGCAGCTGTCATGTTTCCTGTGGTAGAGGTTAAGGGAATAACAGCAAAGGGCGGCTCCTGGGAAAGCATGGATTTTTAAGACTATGTATAAGAAACAAAATTACCATGGTCACTATGCTTAATATTGGAAAGTCGATGTGTTGGTTTCCAATATGACAATCAAAGGTAAACTATTGTACTGAAATTAAAAGAGAATATAATATAATACTATTTAAAAAATAAAGCACAGAGGATTTCACTTTTCATTCTAGTTGGGAAATGAAAACCTTGATCATCTTTCATTTTCAAGTGAAACATATGCAAACAAAATCTATCCTGGTATTAAAGAAACCCTAAAATATGTATCAAAATTATTAGATCCCAAAATGAAACAGCCAGAAATGCTAGGAGAAAATGGCAAGAGGTTACTCCAGCAATCTAAATGATACACATTAGCAAACTTTCAGTAATTGACAAAGTGGTTTTGCAGGAAGTGTAATAATTCATATGCTCCTTAGGTGGCAGTTTATTTTTCTTAGATATTCTTTCCTACTTCATAAAGGTTATTCAAACTGGGTTAGGCCATACCTAGTAAATTTAGCTTCTCTCAGTGAGCAGGCATGAGAAACGGAAGCCAATCAGACTGTCAGAATGTACAGTCATTCCCCTAAAAGGTAAACCAAAGTTCACGTGTCCCTCCATCTGTGCTGTCCCATACTGTGCCTGCCTCTCCTAGTCATAACAAGGGTAAGAAGAAACAATACCTTTTTACTTTAAGAGGAATCGATTAACAAACAGATAGGGACAGAGCATACCATTCAGGAGCTATCAAAAATTATGTTAGTTTCACAAAGCATCAAGTATCACAAAGATTACTTTTAGAAAGACTCATGTTCACCACTTGGTTTCTGAAGAAAAAAATGCTATGGTTGATAATATGCTATTTTCAAGGCTATCTAGCTTTCTAAAAAAACATGCTTTCTGTATATTGGCTGTTTGGTTTTTTTTTTTTTTTTTGACCTAAACTAGTGAGTAAGTATTAAAGAATACAAAACATTACCAACTTATTTTGAAAGCCGTGGCAATCAAAGAAAGCCTATACTGTACCCTGATACACATTTAATGCTGTATTTATAAACCTTTTATAAGAAGATAATTTTGAAGGTGGGAGCCTGCAGGACACTGAACAGCGATATATAGTTGCTCATATATTTCTTCATTATAATAGGACACGAGCTGTCTTCATGAATATACCCAAGGACAATTAGAAACGTGTAAAGAGCTACTGAGACTTTCTAAAATCACAGATGTGATTTTTGCAACATTCACATTGTTCTAAAAAAGATCTGATGCAAGTGCTAGTTCAAGTTATAAATATTCAAATATGCAAAACCAGAAACCAGGAACTAACAGCCATGTTTTAACGAAAATGGAAACAATTTCAGGATCACAAAAATTATTCTGCTTTATATCACCGACTCATCGCCTGTTTTACTCATTGGAATTTATTTTAAATATTTTCAGAGATTCTCCACATCCTTGTCTTTTTCTATTGTCCTTTTCTTAGGTAAAAGGCTCCAAGCTTCCGTACCGGGAGTTTTGCAGTTTTGTATTTACTCCCTTCGTCTGGCTAACAAATTATATGAAACCTGTATTTGCTCTGATCCCTTTCTCTTACAAAAAACGCCCTCAAAACCAAAACTACAACAAAAACATCCAACAGCCCAGGGGTTGACAGTGGAAGTCTCAATTTGCGAACCGCTCCATCTCTACTGCTAAGGAATAAGCTATCCTATCGCTGCCCAAACCAAAAGCACCAACCGAAAAACAAAAATCACTCAAGAAAAAGGCCTGCTCAGCCCCAATCTGAAATTTCTAGTGCAGATGTGATCCTAGTGAGCGACTTGAGTTCGGAGAGAAAACTTAGGCGCCTGCAGCAGTCTTCGGCCAGCTCAGACCTCGCCCCGCGCCTCGAGGGCGCGGTCGGCAGGGCCCCTCCCGGGGCTGCACGGCCACGCAACCCGAGGGTCCCGGGCGTGCACAAGTTGACCAGGGGGCACCTCGGGGTCCCAGGGGACCCAGGCAAGCCCCTGCCCTCCCAGAATGAGGACCCGGGAGCCAGGTTCCAGCCGGACCGCAGGGTCCGCTGGACGCCGCCCCAGGAGGGACGCGGCCCCGCAGACCTGGAGGCTTCGCACCGGCCAGGCAAGGATATTGCCTCAGACAGGAGTCCACCTCGCCCTCGTCGGGCCCGGCCTGGCCGTCGCCCCCGTCCTCCTCGTCCACGAACTTGTTCTCATCGTACTCATCTACGTCCACCTTCCGGAAGCGGGCCGACGACACCGTGTTCTTCGACATCCCGGATCGCGGCGGGCGGCGAAGGCCTCCTCTCAGCGCTGTTCTACCTCACAAGCCCAGCCCGGTCCGAACCCGCGGCCCGGTGTCCAGTTCACTTCCCTCTTCCGCTCTGGGGCGTCGCCCGCAGCCGCTGCTCGGACGGTTCTGGGCCTGCGCGCTCGCCGCACTTCTTCCTCCTCAGGTTTGCGCGCGTCTCCAGCCCCCGGACGCCTCCTCCGCTCTCCCCGGAGGGCGCGGGGGGAGAAGCACAGTGCGCAGGCGCAGAGCCTCTGCAGGAAAGGGGCGGAGTCGAGCTCTGGAGGCGGAGGCAGGCCGAGGCGGAGGAGCCGAGCGGCGAGGGACGGGCCGAAGGGGGGCCGCGGGTGTAGGTAAGAGGCGATTGGCTGTTGGGGTGCATCACGTGAGCTACAGGAGGTTCCCATAGAAACGCTTTTCTGTGGTCCAGTCTTAGAGGGTCTTAAATTTTCGGCGATGGGCATCCGAGGTGGGTGGCCTGGGCTTTTGCTGCCGCCGCCGCAACCAACGACCTACCTTTGGGGTCCTGTGTAAGGTCCGGCCGGTCCGGACCTCCGGGTGCAGTGGGATGGACCGGCTGCGGGACCAGGTCCGCTGCAGTCGGCAGGAGTATGGGGCGGAGTGATGCACGCTCGCGCGCCCAATCTCGTTCTGGTTGCCGAGACGTAGCTCCGGACGGCGCGCGGCCAGGGGCTGCTCTCCCGAGCCGGGAGCCCCGTTCCCGGGTTCCAGCTACGCTGCGCAGCCAGCGAGGACGGAGTCGAAAGGTCAGATCTTACCTGTCAGTGCTGGTGACAGCGTCGCCACGGGATCTGCAGGATCTGAACTCGGTACCTATCCATCAGGAGGGAGGGAAGGGTGTCTGGGCAGGGGCTGGAAACCTGATAGAATCGGGGTGAGGAGGTCAGTGACTAACATCTGCTAGAAAGGAGTGGGCGAGTTATGCCCTCCAGTTCTCAGGGAACAAAATAGGAGGACAAAATAGATTTTTCAGATTGATATTTGTGATTTAAGACTTACACGAGCCTGTTGAGCCAGCTTTTTAATATATTGCACATCACCATTTATGAAGACAGAGTTCTTACTGAAGAGGTAACGGCACTAAGATTAAGGAAATAGTTGTGTTCCGTGCATCACATTGTAATACAAGAACTTGCAAAATAAAATTACTGTAGACATTTAGGTGTACAGTGCTCAGGTTCGGGTCCAGTTCAGTTTTTGCCTCTTTGTGAAGGTCGCCTGTGGTCTTGGTGACTACCCCATCCTTGGTATCCTGTACCGTACAGAAAAGCGCACTGGGCGTAGTATCGGAAACCTGACTTGAGTCTTGACTCTTGAGTATCATCTGCGTGATTGAGGCATGTTGCTTACAATTTTGAACCTCAGGTTCTTTGTCGCTAATGTGGGGATTGATATTATATTCTTTACAAGATTGTTCTCAGGATTAAATACACTAGAATTCTACATAAATATAAATGCTTAATACCTGTATCATTGGTTTTGTCCTTAGTTTCATAACTTATTTAATGATATATCATGTTTTTTCTTGCTTCTGGGAGAGACCTAGATTCTGAAGGTAGACTGTCTTTTTATCTTTCTTTCACATAAAACTATGTGCAAAAGGTGCTGACTAGATGATTAAGTAAAATGTGTAAGTTTGAGTCACACTGGGAATGAATTAGTTTGAAAAGGAAATCTCAAAATCAAACCTTTGCTGGATATACACACACATAGTATGTACATTTATATGTGCGTATATACTTATATATGGAGGGAATGCTTAAGAATGGAATGCAACCATTTTTCTTGGGAAGAAGCAATGTAGCCAAGTAAATCATCTTTCTAGAAGATACATCTCTTAGGTTATAGAAGAAACGTTTCCGTAATTTATGAGCAAATACACTGATAAAACTCTCCTAGGGCTATGTTAAGACAGCAGGTGAAAAATTTCTACCTGTTGATAATATTTTTAAAAGCCATATACCAAAGTCTAAGATCAATTCTATAGTCCATTGCATTATATAACAGAATAAAGATATATTTAAAATTATTTGTTTCAATCTTTTACAAACTTTAGTAAAAGCTGAACAGTATACTTTCTTAGAAGTGAAAGCTGGTTGTACTTTTTGTTCTTTTAAATCAAGAGTTTTTTTTTTAAGAGAAAATTAAACAGTAGATGCACTGTGCAGTGCAAAAGGAAGCCAGGATTTAAGAGCTTGTACCTTCTGGTACATTTCTATTCTTTTGTGTTGTCTTAATTTTCTTGTTCTCTTATTTTAGAACTGGGAAGGAATCCTGGGGTAGAAATCAACTTAATGTAACAGTGAGAGGGATTTTAAAAATTGACTTGCTCAAGGGTTTAATTGTCTTGATTGCTCAGAATTTTACTTCACACGCTGAAATTGTTAAATGTGACAGTATTTTTTTATATTGCTTCACAATGGTGGCAGTACCTGGTACCATAGTGGGCACTCAGTACATTTATATCCAATGAATTCATGATTAGACAATTTAATTTTGAAATGATATTTATAATGAATGCACTAATTATCTACTTACTCTCACTAATAGTTAATTCTTTAAATCTTTAAGGACATTTTTGTGTGTGAAGGAATTTATCCTTAATTATCTTTTAATTGGAAAATATACATCCTCCGTTTCTTTGCAAATTCTAATGTTAACTGTGATACTTAATTCATCTTAGGTAATATTATTTTCCATTATTTTAATTTTGCAGATGTATTTTTCCCTTGATATAAAGGATCCATGAGGCTTTAAGATTTATTGGTATTTAAAATATAGTGTACAGCTAACCTGGCTTGGCTCATTATTAAAACAAGACTGAATCTAGGTTTTTCTCTTCCTGGGTAGCTCATTTTTGTGATGATGTAAAATGCCAAGGATATTTGTAGTTAGAAGAGATTTTAACGAAACTATCTTATGATAATTGGGCTTTTGAGATATTTAAAGACAAATACTTTACCTTCTTTGTGCTTTATCAAATTTGCCACTAGATCCTTAAAAAACAAGTCAAGACATTGAATCTTGTGACATGGCATTATTATTTTTATTATTTGAAATGACAGTGAACTTTATTTAAAAAGTGTCAAATTTTTGTAATGTAAAATTTCAATTTTCATGATAGTGTTTTAATATTATTGTTCTCTACCAACATAATCACTATGGTATAAAAAGATTTTTTAGGGCTGTAACTATATATTATACCTTAATGCTTCTATTGATATCAGGATCAACTGGTGCTATGTTGAAACCATCAATCTTCAAAGTTTTTTCTCTATGATTAGTTCTAGCTTTATTTAATTTTATAATTGCACAGTGAAGTAGAGAAGGGACAAAAGAACTATTTAACTAAAGGACTTATATATATTAGTACTTCAAAGATTTTTAAAAATTATGATTCTAGAGCCAGGCATTGTGGTACACTTCTATAATCGCAGTATTCGAGAGTCTGAGGCAGGAGGATTGTTGCAAGTTCAAGACCAGCCTGGGCTACAAAGTGAGCTAGTGCCAGCCCAAACTACACAGTGAGATGCATGTGTCAGAAAGACAAAACAACAACAACAACAACAAAAACAACTGATTCTGTGCTTTTCTCTTAGGAAAAGTATTTAGTGCCAGAAGAAAGAATAAATCTTGTTTCTTAAATATTGTGGTGAATAAGACCTTTGTTCCATTTAATATTTAACTGCTTATGATAAAGTGATGCTATGGGTTTAAAAACACATTTAACCTGTATTTCTTCCCATTTCTTGGGTTTTTAGAAATGCTGATAGCTACTTTAAGGCATTGCTCATCATAGTTACAATCATAGTATTTGAGATAATGGTAATTTATATCTTCTTTTCCAATATTAATATCATTTAGTTATTTTTCTTATCTTTTTATTGCATTAGCTAGACCTTTGAAGAGTATTGAACAATTGAACAGATAGTGGGTTTTCCTGAGGTGTTTGTTCCTCTGGTATTTCACCACTTGATATTATATTTACTATTGTTTTATGATCTTTAGGAGTCACTGCTGAAATTATTAAAACTTTTTTGGTGGGGCTTAAAGCTAAAAATCACATCAATTTTGATTTTTAAGGAATGTAATAAAGCCCATATATATATATATATATATATATATATATATATATATATATATGTATTTTTGAGCATTAGACCATCCCAAGATTTCTGGGTTAAGCTTCAATTTGTTATGAACTGTTATTTTAATTACTTGCTGCATTTAATTTATATTTTGTTTATATGGCTTCAGATCTGTGAAAGGAAAGAAGATTGATCTACAATTCCTTTGTGCTCTTTGTCTAGTTTTTTTTGTTTTATATTTTGCAGTAGTAGGGAATCGAACCCAGGTTCTCATGCATGCGAAGTGACTGCTCTAGCCCTGCGCTCCATCTCTAGCCACTTTATTCAGTTTTGATATTAGGGTTGGTTTAGCTTTGAAGATGATCTTATATAATTTTAACCTTTTTCTGTGTTGTGGAATCATTTAAATGACAGGAAATTCCCATGCTGTTTGTTTTAGGAAAGTTGTAGAATATGGTTACAAAATATTTGGGCTTGCTGATACTTTGTCGTCTTTGTCTTCCATGGTTCATGATTTGTTTCATTTCCTTTCATTTTTGGTCAATTTGAGAATTTATATTTTACCAGAAAATCATGCATTTCATGTAGATTGGTAGTTCTTTAACAAGAAATTACATAAATTACTTTCTTATAATTATTCTAATGTCTTTTATAACCTTGGACATACTGGTGTTTCTCATTGCTACTATGAACAACTTAAGTAAAATATTAAAATAAACTTATTTCTTCTCCAATGTAATTATCACAAATTCTAATAACTTTGCTTTTTATAAAAAATAGAAAGTAAACAATCTCAGACTCATGAAGTTGATAAAATTTGAAAGATCCCACAGTCCCTATTATTTCCTCTTATCATTATCCTATTAATACTTTATTAAAAAGTTATTGAGTGATTCTTGTATTGGAGACACGGTATGTAACCCTTTTATTTATATTATTTAATCCTTGGAATATTGCTAGGCCGTAAAAATTTGTGTTCCTAGTTTATGGTTGAGTAAAACTAAGGCTCAGAGATATTATAGCTTGACCAATAATACTTGATTAACAAGTGATAGGTTAGGGAAATCAGTCCTGTCAGATTCTAAGACTTGTGCTTTTATTACCAGTCTCTATTTACAGCATCTTTTTCTCATTATTTCCAAGTATAGTACCTACTTTTTTTTTTTGCCCTAGGAGTAAGGATATTTCAATGGTCTAAATAAAGCTATACCACAGCTTGAAAGGGCCTATAAACTGGAACCTAAAGATACTATTGTACTGATTTTTAAAAGGATATTTGTTTTTTACATATTCCTGAGAACACTTTCTGCCCTACGATGGTATTTTGTGACTGGGCACCAGCTCCCCGTCCCCCAGCTCGTGTGTTCACATTTGGGGCTTAGAGAAGTGACCTGACAAGAAATGGCTGCTCACCTCCTCATGGAGCAGCCCGTGAATGAGCTCATAGCTGGATGGGCTCTGGGGAGACGAGGCCCAGCTATCGGAAGTGGGCCACAGATTTCAGACTACAGATGCTTTGTAGTGTGACTGTTGTTTGCGTTCTACTGGTCAATTTTGGAGACAGATTTCATGGTAACAAATTGGATTTCTGTTTTTGTTTTTGTGCTAGGGGATTGAACCCAGGGTCTTGTGCATTTTAAGCATGTACTCTAACAGTATGGTATACCTCTAGCCCCTGGGTCTATTTTTATAATGATCAGAAACCCTAAATTTGTCATGTTGAGGCCTTTTTAAACATAACATACCAAATCATGGATATATGATTTGTTATCTAATAATTAACTTAAATAGCACTTATTTTATTATTATTATTATTATTTTACATTTTTTTCTTTTTTCCGGTACCAGGGATCGAACTCACGACTGCCTGCTTGCAAGGCAGGTGCTTATGATGCTGAGCTAAATCCCCAGCCCCTATGTTATTATTTTTTAAAACATTTTTTTGGTACTAGGAATTGATCTTGCCAAGCAGGTGCTATGCCATTGAGCTACATCTCTGATCCGGTACTTCTTTAAATTATAATCACTTTATACATATGGTAACATGATACTCCAGTACTTCTATAAAAGGTTACAGGCTAATAATAGAAATTTCTGTATAAAAACTGTATTTATGTTTATTTTAATAAAAATTCTAATTTTATTCCTAAAACTGTTTTCTTTCTCTATCTCCTCCTCCATTTTCATGGAGTATTAGTTACATGCCTTAGGTAATGGCAAAGTATCTCATTAGCTTACTATTACTTTATATATATATGTATATATATATATATATATATATATATATATAGAAAATTAATAAGTGAAAAATCAGTGTACGCTCCTTGCTCTGCATCATTTCATCTTTTCAAGTATGACATAAAACAGAAAATGTGAATTAAGCAGAAGCAAAGCCATTTAAGTGGCTCAGAGACAAAGAGTACTTCTAGAAGAAGTATGTTTTGAGCAAGATTTTGCAAGAAGGTACAAATATATGTTGAGGAAAAAAGGCTGCTATAAAAAAGGGAAAAATACATATTATTCACTGGGGAGCTATAGTAGAAAAAGGAGAATTGAGGGGCTGGGGATTTAGCTCAGCAGCATAAGCGCCTGCCTTGCAAGCAGGCAGTCGTGAGTTCGATCTCCGGTACCAATAAAAAGGAAAAAGACAAAAAAAAAAAAAAAAAAAAAAAAAAGGAGAATTGGATGTTAACAAAAAGATCTTTTGAAGGATAATTATGTAGACACTTGGCTGGTGTGGCAAAGGGATGTTAGGGAGTAGTGATCGGTGGATTTAGTGAGATGTAGATTCAGCTTTGCTACATGCATTCTGCCTGGATATTCTGACAGATCCTAAGAGAAAAGTTAAAGGGAAAAGAGAAGGTACTTGTACTAGAGGAAATCACAATGTTTCTGATGGGGCAAAGCAACAGGAGTTCTGGAAGCCTGTAAAAGCAGCTTGGGTTTTACAAGGCACATGAGGGTAGAACCTGTGGAGATGCTCCAAGTCGTTCTGCCTCTCTCCTGTGTTCAGGAGAGCGAGTTCTGAGATGTGGTCAAAGTAGAAGGTGGCCATGGCCATGTTTCAAAACTCAATTTTTGTCAATTAGTGGAAGAACTTTTCCTCACATAAAACTTTGAATTACTTTATAAAAAATGGGCTGACTAAAATCTGCTCACAACTAACAATGAATGGAAAATCACTGATTTGCTCTTGCAAGCATCATTCAATGTCAGTAACTTCACTCTGTTTCCAGTTTTACAGTAAATTTTTATGATGAAACTAAATTTAGGAAGCTATTTAGTCTCTATTTTTAAAATGAAAAGCGGGTATGGATATACTTGAGTAATGACATTCTTTTTCTGAATCAAAATACTAACAAAGTACTAATGACTCCATTTTATTACTGTCACTTTTTGTTTGTTTTTTTTTTTTTTTTTTTTGAGACAGAGTCTCACCATGCAGTTCAGGCTGGTCCTGAACTCACTATGGAGGCCAGGCTGGCTTGAACTTGCAGCAAATCTCCTGCCTCAGTCTCCCAAGTGCTGAGATTACAGACATGCACCATTATCCCCAGCCATGCTGTCACTTTCAAAGTAAAAGAAAGAGTGACATCAAGTTACGTATGGCAACATTTTGTATTATATTAAGCTTATAGTTTTATAATTCTTGATATGGTAAATCGGGTTTTGCTTTTATTACATCAGTTTATCTCCATCTTGGTCAGACCTAAAAAACGGAATTTTCAAATTGCCATTAAATGTTGCCATTTAATAAGTCCTCTGGCTTATTGGTTTTCTGTATGCGTAAAAAGTAGCTTTTGTTTCTTCTTTTCGTCTGCCTCTTTGCTACTTGCAGACCTTTCTGTGATTTCCACAGTCTTCTCTAGTCTTCCAATGGGAGTTTTTTTGAGTCTTTGCTCTCCTAGATTGACATTTGAGGCATATTTAAGTGCCTTATCACATGCCTTGGTTTATGTGGGTTTTGACCAAGCTGAATTGGTGGTAGATCTCTGTAAGGCACCAACACAAAAACAACAGGAATCCTGAGGTCTGGAGTCAGGTTGGGTTGCAATTGTCCACTTGTCTGTTGGAAAGACTGTCCTGGAAAGACATTGTTTAAGGGATAGCTGTCTAAAGCTGCCCCAGCTTTTGTGTTCTGATTCTCTTTTGTCTGGGGAAGAACTTCAGTGAAGTAAGGTTTCACTCCTGTTATGTTGCTGATTTCATACGCATTGTGCCTGTCCGCCAGTGCTCTCCCTGTTAAAATGGGCTGGAAAGCAATGGCTCCGGAGACACCCGTAACAAAGTTGTTGAGGAGACAATGCCAAATCCCACCACTTATTGGACTCAACGTGACCTGGGGCCATAAGCTGGCCAGGCTCCTGAGAGCTTCGCGGTTCCATGCTGAGGCAGGAAATTCACTTCCAGTATGATAGAGGTGAGAGAAGTAAACACTAAGAGTGACGTCTGGATACATCGTCAGGAAATTGTACATCTTGCTGATGCAGCAGTGGTTGGCTTCATTACAGGGGGAGTTGTTCGAATAGAGAATGATATGCTTAATGCTGCTGTTATTGTGTATGGCTGAGTCAAGATAACCATTCATCTCAAACAGCATTGATTCTGGGTGGGTGTGATTCCCAGTGCAATTGCTAGCATGTCCTTTTTGCACCAGGCTACCAGAAAAAGTTTTTAACTCATAAAATGTGAGGTGCTTTGTTGAAGGATGCGTTGGCTCATAAGGGAATCTAAAAATCTGATGAAATTCTGTGTAGGGAACTCTTGCTTCCTCACCTGTCCGGATATGGTAAGGACAGTTAATGCAGTCTAGAGAGAAGTTTAACCAGTGATAAGGCTTGACTATTGTTCCACCGTGTGCAAGATACTCCTCGTACAAGGGCTCCATTGCTAGTGTTATTATCTTCTAGCTGCTAACCTAAACAAGGAGGAGAAATTATGTATCAGACCATTGCAGGAGAAACCCAGAGACAATGCATTTAGTCAGTCTTGTCTTTCTTTAAGGGAGATAGAACATGTGTAAAACTATAATAGCATTTTTTGTGATTCTGAAAGACAGTGACTTACATGAATAGATTACAAACCCAGGATTCCTTTTTATTCATTGAGATTCCAGGAGGATAGGAAAGGCACAGAGAAATGCAGAGTACAACTTCACCAGTTTTGTGGATCCCGGTTTGTACAGCAAATGGGTTAACAGTACAGGTTCTAGAAACAAATTGTCTTGTTTTAAGACTGAGCTGTACCACTAAACCAGCTTGGTGGCCTCTGGTAAACTAACTCCTGGGAACCATAGCTTCCTTGTCTGTAAAATGAAGATTGTAATAGTACACCTCATAAGGTTACCCTGGGACTGAACAGTGAAACCAAAATAAAACGCTTTGCTACGCGCCTGACAACTAGCCAAAGCTCGGTAAATATTAGTTCTTAACAATAACAGTACAAATCTCAAATCTGGATTACTCAGGTTTATGAAAGTCCATAGAAATAAGTAAGAATTGTGCATTTTGTTCTTGATTGCTTCCTTTGTCTGTTCCGTAAATACAGTAGCATAATACATTGTGCAAAGATTTTGAATGTGCTTGCATTTTTTTGTACAGGGGACCAAACTCATGACCTTGCACTTGCCAGGCAGGCACTTGTACCACTGAGCTATATCCTTGGCCCCTGTGCTTGCACTTTAAATCAGTCATTTCTTAAAATTGTTGATAAATTACAGTTACTACCCACTTAAGAATCTTAAGCTCTATTTTACTCAGTAGTAGAGAATTATAGAAGTACTGTGTGTGTATTCTTTGAGTCATGGACACTCCTTAACTGACATTTGAGTTTATTTCTAGTGGGTGGACCTTGTTATAGAAGTTTTTAAAAATTAATACTGTGGAAAGCAAATCTGTGTTTTTTAGAGTATTTCAGGTTATCTTCTAGTATGTTAAATCACAAATGTTAAGATTTTTCCTTTAATATATTTATTCAGTTATCACTGTTTTTAAGTAACTATCCAGAGCATTATTAATGTAGTTTTAAAAACATTTAAAATGAGCATTTATTATATAAGTATCATGTTTGTTGAAAAATTTTAAAATACTAATATGTAAAGTAGAAAAAAGTCTCATCAGTTTGTTTCAGTTTGTAGATCAATTGCTGATAACGATGTATTTCCCTCAGTCTTGATAAATATATATAAATAATATATAACAAATAAAGTTGTGTATTATTCCTTGCTTTTTCACTTAGTATTGTATCATAGCATTTTCCTGTGTCATTAAGCATTTTTCAAAAAACAGAATATGCATTGCTAGTGTTTTCCTATATAACTGTAACATTTAATTTTTGCTCTTTTAATTATTATAAATAACACTGATGAATGTTTTGTGAATAAACCTTTATATCTTTCATTCTTTTTAGTGTAAATCATGATAAGTCATAGTTATAGGTCAAATACTGTGAAATCGTTTCCTAGTAAAGGGTACTATTATTATCAAATTTTTTCTCAGTGATGTTTTGCACACCATTGCCAATTCAAGAAATAATCATTAATGTATTTTTATTGTTACAATGTATACCTTTTCTATTCCTAGAGACATTGAACATATTTCACATATGATAGTAAATATAGTATTTATTCTATCAAATGTTCTTAATCCCTCACATTTTTTTTGAAGCTTTTCTTACTGATTTGGAAATGCTTTTTATGTATCAAGATTATTATCGAGGCTGGGGGTTTAGCTTAGCGGTGTATGCGCCTGCCTTGCAAGCGTGTGGTCGTGAGTTCGATCTCTGGTACCAAAAAAAAAAAAAAAAAGAATATTATCTGTCACATTTCTTGCAAATATTTTACTTGGTTTATAAAGAGTTCTAGTTATGCTGCTATTTTAATTGCATCAAATTTTACATTTTATGCAGTTTAATCTTTTATCTGGTTTTTTTCCCCCCTTTTTTATTTTGAATAGCCTTCTTTATGAGAGTACCATTAAGTGTTCCTCATATTTTCTTCTGGTATCTATGGCTTCACTGTTTATGCTTAATTTTTTCCAGGCAGGAAAACAGACAAGGAAGAAAATACCATGAAGTAAACTGACTATTGCAATAAAATTATATTTTTCATTTTTCAGAATACAATTTTCACATCCCAGGTATTTATTGTGTCCTCCCATATAAAAGCATTTTGATCAACTTCTGTCTTCTTTAACCTGGATCAGCTCAGTCACTGCTCTATTTAATATACCTTGTTAAATCACATTTGTTTGACTGAAAACGATGGAGGTCCTGTGCTAACTTTGACCTGAGCGGAAAATATTTTAAGACCACTGGAGTATAATACGGCTTGCTGCATATCACCATCTGCCTAGGGGTTAAGATCCTCCAGTCTGGTACCACATACCCAGCACATTTCCAATTTCCCTTAACCTTTCCCATATTAGCTCAATCCAGGAAATGAGGTGTTTGCTTCAGCTTCTCCCTTAGTACTATTTTTCTGATGCAACTGAATTCCTGTCCTTGAGGCTTTCTAGTCTTTGGAATAGTTTTTCCTCCAGGAAGCTGGATTTAACCCTTGGCAATGGACCTATCCCTGGGTCAACTATCACAGTTTCCTGCTGCTTGATCCTAAGCCTTGTTTTCTCCTTGAATTTCTTCCCCTCAGCTGTCTCATCAGACAGATCTCTCTGATTATCAAAACTTGCTGAAACCAATCCTAAATTCTCCATGTTTTTAGCATTGTATTCTCAGCCTTCTTGACTCATGGATGATACACATCTGATAGATTACCACTCAAATTACAGTTTCAATCCACCCATAGAAAATTTGCAGTTCAGTTTGGCTAGAATGTTATGGAAAATATACCAAGAGAATCCGTCTCCCTTTATCATTATTTTTAAAGCTGACTTATATGTGGCGGTAACTATATATAATGCTCTCATAATTACCTTTTAGGAAAGCAAAGATCTTAAGATAAAGGTGGCAAAATAGAAGCTTCCAGATTGCTTTACTGAACCTCTCTTCCTTATACATCCTCTGCTATGTTTATTTTAGCCAGAACTACAGAAATGATGCATCATTATTATTTTTAGAGAGCCTGGCAACCAGCGGTATTGGTATATAATGGAGGGAATTCTGCAGTGACCTTTTATTGATGACTTTCCACTGTCAACCAACTTGGCTTCCCTGTTGGTGAAGTCCTCACTCTTTTTAGGCTTCTTGGTCATCCTCATTTGAACGTGAAGCAGGAAAGAACTCCTGCCCCCTTTTGGGCTCTTACAGAATTCACAGCATATTGTGTTGTCATCCACCACGGACTCTCTTGGTTGTTAACTTCTGGTATCTGTTCCTTTATTCTCCCCTAACCAGGCAGAGATGTGCCCTGTGTAGCTCAGGGCCTATTTTAGTGACCAGGGCTGGTTCTCAAACCAAGTGGGTGAAGACTTGTTTCCCCAGCTACCTGTGTCCCTACTGCTTACTCCTTTTGCTTCTGTGCTGTGCTCGGGAAGTATGTGTTCCCTCCTGTAGAGCAGGTCTGCTGGCATGGAGAGCTAGAGGTCTGAGGAGCCCAGCTGTTGGGTGGTCCTGAACTAGGGCCACAAGGGTGGGGTAGGTTGGGATGGGGAGCCTTCCTCAGTTTATCATAAGTGAACCACACTGGGAACACCGTCTGCTCTCATTTCTCCCAACCAGGACTTGTGAGCACTGTTAAAGCACAGTTTGCACCGGAGGAATTGGAGAATAGAGATGCCCTTGACAATCTGTATACAATCTGTTAGCAGCTAAAAACAAACGTTAGTGGTTATAGTTACCGTCATTTTCTCTTCAGGCTTGGCTCAGATTCCAGGTAGTATAGGAGATGGTCCATTTCCCTTTCTTTGTCCTCTTAGGTTCCAGGCAATGTTTCAAGTAGCTTTGGAGGTCAATTGTGTGGTAAAGATTCTCCTTCTATATTGGTTCGGGACTCTTTTTACAGTTTGTGTCCCTTAGTTCACTTGAACTTTGCTATCCAAAGTTAGAAAGACCTTGCCGAGGTGTGGCTGGCTCTAAGAACACTGTTGAATTGGTGCCATGGTAACGTTTGCAAAGTAGCTACTGCTAGGATACAGCTTTGCCACTTATTACTTTATTTGCATATGAAGCCACCTGTTCCAAAGATGAAAATATACATGACTGCATATTCTGGTCTGGATAAAAGGCTGGTAGCTGACTGTTTAAATGAGCGTGTTAGGATTTTTCTCCCTGTGGCTGTAAGAACCTAGTCTGAGCCCCTCTGTCCAGGGCTTTGCTTCAGGCCTAGAGTAGGTGCAGGCATGGTGTGTGGACAGGACCTGGTGGGTCTGTGGCCTAGGAGCCGCCAGAGCTTCTCCTAGGGAGACGACCTGACTTTTTTTTTTTTTTTGTCTTTTTCATTTTTATCAGTACCGGGGATTGAACTCACGACCGCCTGCTTGCAAGGCAGGTGCTTATGCCGCTGAGCTAAATCCCCAGCATGACCTGACTTCTTGAGAGACAAATGGAGCTGATGGGCCCACAGTCCTTGAAGCGGAAACTCTTAGTTCTTTTCAGACCTGAGTTTTCACTGTTGGCAGCTTTTTGGTTCTAGACGTTCCCTGGAGGCCTCTTGCTTTTGGGTGTATGTGTTTCCTTTTAGTTTAAGACTTACTTTGCTCCTGGTTTCCTTGGCTCTGTGGGAGTGGAAGAGCAGCTTCTTCTGCGTTCTTTTCTTCTTCTTCCCTTTACTCCTCACCATCTCCTAGACAGCAGACATACTGATAGTTGTGATTCATTGTGTTTAGTTTTTTTGTTCTTTGTTTTCTTTTCTTATTCTTTTTTTTTTTTTAGTACTGGGAATTGAACTCATAACCTAGTGCTTGCCAGGCAGGCGCTTATGCCACTGAGCTAAATCTCCAGCTTCTTTTCTTTTCTTTCTCTTCCTCTCTTTCTCTCTCTCTCCCTCTCTCTCTTCCTCTCCCCCCCCCCCTCTTTTTTATACTAGGGATTAAAGCTAAAACCTTTGGAATTGCATCTCCCCTATTTTATTTTGAGACAGGACCTTACTGAATTTCTGAGTTGCCCAAGCTGGGCTCACACTTGTGACCTCCCTGCCTCAGCTTCCCAAAGTGCTGAGATCAAGGCCTGCTCCATGCCTCCAGCGTACCTTGCTTACTGTCCATCATTCCCCTCATTCGTCATCCTCAGACCACCTGAAGGCACGAGTGGGGATTGATGTGTATTTCCTTAGTTACTGCCAACAGTTCTTAAATGTGTGTCCTTTTAAAAGTGACCCAGGAGTACTGAGCACTGGGAAGGCGCCTTCTGCCTTGCAGCAGTGTTGCTGCTCTGTCCTTGCCTCCTTTGCAGACTTCAGTCCTCCCTTTTCTGGGATCCTGCTGGGCTTCATACTTAATTTTGGTCTTTGTATTCTGTAAGGGTCCGAGGGCCTAAGGGTGCGCGCCAGCTCCTCTGCAGCAGTTCCATTTGCGCTTTCCTTCATGCTGACTTTGGTTCAGGCTCTGTTACCGCTCTTGTTCTTTACCCTGTGCCCTGGATTGTGCACTTGTTGTTCCCACTGCATCCTAGCTGAGTGAACTTGCAAATATAAAACTGAAAGCTGATCATCAGAGCTCATCTCTTATTTGACTCATATTTTTAACTGTATAATTTTAAGAAATGATACTTTAAATTTTATAATTTTAATAGTTATAAAATATTACTTGAAGGGGCTGGGGATTTAGCTCAGCGGCATAAGCACGTGCCTTGCAAGCAGGCAGTTGTGAGTTTGATCTCCGGTACCGATAAAAAGGAAAAAAACTATATATATATATATATATATATATATTACTTGAGTATATATATATATATATTACTTGAGTATTATATATATTGTATTACTTGAGTATATATATATATATATATATATTACTTAAGTATATATATATATATATATTACTTGAGTATTGCCAGAGTTATTCCTGGAGGCTACCATTATCCTGATTACAAAACCAGATAAAGATCCAACCGAAAGAGAGCTATAGACCAATCTCTTTCATTCATATTAATGCAAAAATCCTCAATAAGGTACTGGCAAAGAGAATGCAATGAATCACCAAAAAGATCATATATAATGCCAAAGTAGGATTCATCCCAGGGATGCCAGGATGGTTCAACATATACAAATGAATAAATGTAATACATCACATTAACAACAGCAAGGACAGAAATCACATGATCATCTCCATAAGTATAAAAAAAACCTTTGTTAGATCCATTGGTGATGAACCCAGTGAGAAAGAAAGTAGGAAAAATATCACTCACAGTAACATCTAGAAAAATTAAATACTTAGGAATTAACCTAATAAGGAAGTAACTTCTACAATGCAAACTACAGTACTGAAAAAGGAAATAAAAAAAAAATCAGAAAATAGAATTCTGTCTCCTGTTCCTGAGGCAGAACCAATATCATCAGAATAGCTATCCTTTCAAAACTCACACACAGATTTAATGCAATCCCAGTCAAAATTTCAACAGTGTTCTTCCTAAGATTCACATGGACTAGAAAAGACCTAGAATAGCAAAAGCCATCCTGGGTGAAAAGAGCAAAGCAGGAGGCATCACAACCCTGAGCCTGCGTTAGATTACAGGGTCACCGTGATAAAAATCAGCGTGATACTGGCAAAAAAGGCAAAAGATCAATAGAACAGAATAGAGGATGTAGAAACACATTAAGCACATTCAACCATTTGATCTTTTGACAAAAAAGCCAAAAACTTACAATGGAGAAAAGATATAACCTTTTAAACAAATGGTGTTGGGGAAATTGATTATCTACATGCAAAAGATTGAATCTAGACCCATATCTTTTACTATATACTAAACTAAAATCAGAATGGATCAAAGAAATAAATTTGAAGCCAGAAACCCTTTACCTGCTGGAAGACAAGCTAGGTAAGACTCTTGAAGTCATAGGCATTGGTAAGGACTTTCTGAACAGAACCTTGGTTGTGCAGGAAATAGTCTGCGAATTAACAGATGGGATCACATTGTATTTTGATAGCTGGGCATGGTGTTGCACACCAGTAATACCAGCACTCGGGAGGTTGAGGGAGGACGATCATTGCGAGTTCGAGACCAGCCTGGGCTACAAATTGAGCTCAAAGCCAGCCTGAACTGCACAGTGAGACCCTGTTTCACAAAAGAGGAAAAATAAATAAATGAAAATTAAAATAGGGGATGACAATGTGCAATGTGTGTACCATTGTTATCTCCGATTGACATACTTTAAAATTTTGTGGTAGTTTTTTTCCTCCTCCTTTTGTTCTTTCTAACTATGAGTAAAATGGATTTGGAAAAAAAGAGAAAAAATAAAAAAAAAACTTTTGAATAGCAAAAGAAACAACCAAAAGAGTTAAAAGACAAGTTACAGAGTGAGAGAGTGTTTTGCCAGTGACTCCTCAGACAGAGGCTTACTTCTAGGATGTAAAGAACTCAAACTGCTGTTAACCACCCCCCCAAATAAAAGACCCAATTAAAAAAATGGGTAAGTGAAATGAATAGACATTTCACAGAAGAAGTACAAATGGCCAATAAATACATGAAGAAGTCCTCAACATTGTTGGCCATTAAAGAAACGTAAATTAAAGCAACATGTGATTCCATCTCACCTTGCAAAGAATGGCTGTTATCAAGAAATCAAATAATAACAAATGCTTCTACACTCTTGATGGAAATGTAAAGTACTATCACCACGTGGAAATCAATGGAATAGTTTCTCAAAACATTTTCTCAAAAAGTTGAAACTAGAAATTCCATTTGATTCAACTGTTCTTCTAGGTATCTTTCCAAGAGTTGCAGACATCATATTATAGTGATACATGCATATCCATGTTTATAGCTACCCAATTCATAATAGCTAAATCTTGGAAGTGGCCTATGTGTTTATCAACAGATAGGTGAATAAAGCAAATGTGATATTTACACAAATAGGGAAGTACTACTCTGACATAAAGAAAAATAGACTTGACTCATTTGTAGGAAAATAGGTGCACCTGGGGGCCATAATGCTAAGTGAAATCAAGCAGAAACACAAGCTTAAATATCACATGCTTTCTGTTACATGAGCAGCCCAAAGTGTAAATAGAGTGAAAAATAAAAGACAGATGAGAAGTAAGGAGATAGACCTTCCTCAGAGGGGAAAGGAATGAAAGGTGGAGGGTGAGGAAGAGAGGGAAGGGATATGGAAGATGTGTGCTGACTCCACACAAGGAGGAGGAATGTAGGCGTTTGTACTGCAAACTTGCACCAAAAGAGGTGGGGGGGGGGGACCAGGGATGGCTAGAGGGGAAGAGAGGGAAGGGGAAGGGGATGAAGAAAGGCATGAAGTACAATATTACCTAGGTCACCACCTCCCACAGGAATGTAAACATGAACTGCAAACATGTATTAATAGCCTCCTAGCATTATAAGGCATCAGTAACTAATTTGAAAAGCACAATTCTTATCAACCATAGTTACCCTACTATAGAACATCAGCAATTACTTCTTCTGGGCAATTACATCCATTAATGATGTCACTATTCTTCAACACACTTCCCAGATTTCAGTAATCACTCTTCTAATCTCTACTCCTATGAAATCAAGGGTTAAGCAAGAATGTATACTTATGTTCCTGGGCTTAACTTTCTTCATTTAATACAATATCCTCCAATTCTATTTGTGTTGCCACAAATAACAAGATTTCATTCTTTTTAAAGGCTGAATAGTGTGCTGTTGTGCAAAGCCACATTTTCTGTCTCCATTGACCCATGGAAGACATCTGCATTGATTTTCTAAGCTATTGTGAACAGGACTGGACGCACTGATTTCATTTCCTTTGGGTGTATATCCCACAGAGGCATAGCTAGAGTTTATGATAGTTCTATTTCAAAAATTTCTTGCAACCTCCATGCTGTTTTCCATAATTATTATACTGATTTATATTCCTACCAACAAGAGTTCCCCTTTCTCCATATCTTTGTGATAATTACCATTGTAACTAGAATGAAATGATTTGTGATTCCTTGTGGTTTGCATTTTC